GTGATAAACTGAAAAAGACACATAGTAGGTACTTAAACACACACAAGTATATTACTTATGTGTGTAATAAAAGTACGCAAAGTAAAAGAGTTCAAAAAAAATTTCTTTCAAGAAATTTTGGTGTGTTCTTTCTGATACACACACACACACACACACACACACACACACACACCCACACCCACACCCAGAAAAGCATGTTGCAATCTTGATAAAGCAAACATCATCTTTAAAGTTCTGTTGCAATGTGGAATAATTTAGGCAAAATGAACAGTATTTCCAGTGTCCCACCCAGAATATTTTCAAAAGTCAAATTCCTTAATTCAGTTAAAGGTGGACTAAATTGGAAAAACAGACCTTACCATTTCAAAATTATTATACTGAATTTTAAAGAGGGAAAATAAAATAGGTTTAAAATAAATTACAGTCAAATTAATGCAAAAAGGCATCTAATATCCTTATATTTGACCTTTAAGCAAATTAAACAAGTAATTTCCCAAAAATTTTTAAACTAGATTATAAACTGTATGCCCACAAAGCTTGAGTTAGTAGTTGTTTTTATTAAAATAATACTGTTTGGATAAGTTCCTTCATAATACTAAAGTTCATAGTAAGATATTCAGCAGTAACAGTACAGTAATACACATTATAGTTATGATAATTTGCACAAGCATAATTATCTGGGTGGAACAGGCTTTATGGCTAGCATGCTATGGTCTGTGACTGCATGGATCGAAGTTTCCCAAGATTCTGATGGTCATCTTCAAAGAGACTTAAGTAAGAGCCGACTTCACGGTGAATACAAAAATGCACCAAAATCAATTCATAAACACCGGTACGAAAACAAGGCTCTCTATAAGAACTACAGCGTTGGAAGAAAAAAAAAAAAAAAATCCAGGGCACATAAAAGGTAAAAAATTGCTGCCCGTGTTTCCTGCTTTACAGTCTTAAACGCCAGGTATTAGATACTTTTTTTTTTTTTTTTAGCGTTTTCTTAAACAGAAATGTAATGTTTTCAGTTACCCCTCCTCCACAGTTAACATCAATGCCCTTTCTTCCTCCTCCTTTACCCCTCCCAGTTCAAACAAATTAACATTTGTACGAAGGTACCTCCTATCAGCTCGCAGCTTCTTCCCAAACACGCCCACGTACATTGAAACTGGCCTGCGTCTACACAACACAGCTACAGGAAAAGAGCTCCAAGGGGGGCAGGTGGGAGGATAATTTAGCTCTGCACAGGTTTACGACTCTTTTCCAGATATTAGCTCCTCACTCCTGGCTCGGGTTTCTGCCAAATCACCTCCAAAGCATGGTGTTTATGAGCCTACCTAATCCGATACTGCAATGGAATTCCGGATATTTGCAGACAGATATCCCGGCTTTGCAAGTGTTAGATCAGATCGGTCCGGAATCTCTCCTTAGTACGCCCGCTCCTAGCTGTACAGCGACCCGACCTCCGGCCGCGCCCCCGACTCCGGACCCTGCCGCGCTCCCGGCCGGAGGCCAGCGCAGGACCAGCCCCTCCGCGTCCTGGGCTGGCGGGCGACCCGGGCTGCGGGCCGCTCCGCAACAGGTCACCGTGACCGCGGGCGCGGGTTCGCGGGCAGCTGGCTCGGCTGCCGGCTTCGGGGGCGCAGCGCCAGAGCCAGGGGAGGGGGTGTGGCCCGGCTCCGCGTTCCCGGCGCGGCGGTCCGGACTCCGGCTCACCTGAAGGGAGGCTGAGGCGCAGCCCGGCGCCAGGGCAGTGCGGGCCGCGGCCAGGGGCTCCCGCCACCCAGGAGGGAGAGCCGAGGCGGCCTCAGGGGGCCGCCCCGCCCCCGGCCTCGGGACAGAGACCGGGAGCCGGGAGCCCACGGCCGCCTCCAGCCACCGAGAGCGAGCCGCCGAGGGAGGCGCGGCCCCGGGCCCCCCAGCGCTCTCCTCCCTCAGCCCGAGCCCCGTCTCCGCGCCGAGGGCAAGCAGCCCCGGGGCCCGAGGCCAGGAGAGCCACACCGCAGCGCCCGAGCCGCCGCCATTCCCAGCGCCGCCGCTGCGGCTCCGTGCCTCCCGGGGGGCGCAGCGCACCCACCTTCCCTCCCCCGCACCGCCCGCCAAGGCTCCGCACCGGGCCCGCGGCCGGAGCACCGACCTGTGCAGCCGCGGCCGTCGCCTCGGAGGATGGGAACACGACGCCGGCCTCAGGGTCCGCCGCTGCCGCTGCCGCCGCCGCCGCCTAAGCTAGCGCCTGGCGACCCGAGCAGTCGGCGTCTCTCATTCAGCGCCCGCCGCCGCCGCGGCCGCCGCTCGGGGGAGGGGAGTGAGCTGGATCCACCCCGTCCGCGCCGCGGATGGGGGAGGAGAGCGGACCTGCCGGGCGCGCGCAGGGAGGGCGGGGCGGAGCCGCGCGCGCGCGCACCAACCGAATGCGCTCGCGCGTGCCTTCGGGGCCGCGACTGGCGGGGTCTTCGCCGCGCGCTCCGCGCCTGCTGCTCTACTGCCCCACCCGCCCAACTGGCGCCGGGGACCAGTGTCCGCGGCGCGCGCCGCTGGCCGCAGCCCCCCGCCCGGCGCCCGCGGGAAGGAGGGGCGGGGAAGGGTTGGAGGGCTGACAGGTGGGGCGCCGGACACCTCCTTTCCGCACGGGGCCCACCACGGTGAAACCGACCCTGGTGTCTGTCGCTTTCAGCGCCGGCACCTCACCTTTAAGGCCGGAGAACAAAGTCTGGAAACACTTGGTCCCCAGATGAAATATTCTGCCCGCGCCAGCGGTGTTTTTAGAATTAGTCGCTGCAACTAATGTGGGGGGCTCCAAATGTGAAGAGCCGCCCCACTGCCGTAGGACCATAAATTATGGTGATCAATACTCTCATATTAAGATTCGGGAAGTGTTAGAAGTAGGCCTTTGTAAGTGTTATGCTGGGGACTGCCCGTGGCTTAATAAGCAAATGGCAGAAATTTGGCATCCCCGGGGGTCTCGGATTGACGAGTTCCAGGTGAAAAGTATTTTCATGTCAATGCACGAAAAAGATTCTGAAATATCAAATATTTTCTGTGAATGAAAAAGGAACAGATTCGTTATAAACGGCGGAAGGGTGTTTCGGAGGGTGCTCTGTATGGGGTGGCCTACTTAAAATTAGCACCATTTGATGCAGTGTGACTATAAATGGAAGGTTTTAAGTGAGCCACCTTTATGCTGTCATTAGACCATTTGGAAATGATTATTTGATGATCTGCAGCTCTTCAGGCCATGTACAGTAGAATGTGGAAGGGATACTGTGTACTAACTAGCATTGGGTATAAAACATGAAAGGACCAAAATTGTTCCCATTTGGTTTCTTTCCTCCCTTTTATAACCACCAAGCAGAACTGATTAATCGTGCATATTGAAGAATGCTAATTATTTCCTCCTTTGACGGCCTGGTATCATAACCCTTTACTCTTAGGGAAGCTAGAATGCCCCTTCAAACCCCTTCCCTCAAATAGGGTCACTTCTTTAAAGCCTTCCCTCCCGCTCCCCAAACCCAAAGGTAAGTTTAAAAACAAAAACAAACAGGATAGACAAAGTTTATGGTTTTTCACTTTTATTGCATTTTACTTTCAGAGAAAGTCTTGAAGGAAATCATGATGAAATCACTGAGAGAAGTAGAGAAACCAAAAGTAAGAAAAAAAACAACTTTCAAATGAGAATAGACTTAGAAAAAGGAAAACAGACTATTGGTAAAAAGGGGGGAAATGTATTATGTATACAGAGTTTTCCCATAGATGCTAATTGCTTCAAGTCCCAAAGAAACAACTGGCAAACAAAATTAGCACTTGGAGGAAAAACCCTTCTAGTTATCAAGTTAGGTAAATGTTTATTCTTTTTAAAGTGTTAGTAAGAGATTAAGGAAGAGGTGGTTGGCTGTGTGCCAACAATAATACATACAACAATTATATACATGCATACATGTGTATATATATATATATATATCCCATTATCACTGCTTTTAAGAAATAAGAAAACTGAGAAACAACAGGGAATTCTATTTTGTATTAATGTTTTGCAATTACTTTAAAGTTGAATAGGGTTTCATAAAAACAAATGAGCCTGTGTTCCTACATCTGCCAATAATTTTCACAGTTTACGGTAAGAGCAGTGAAGTTTTTTCATTTGGACTTTGAAGAGAAAAGGGCATGTGACTCATGAAGGTAGGCCATAGATATACTAAATTCTTATATGTACTGAATTTCTGAGTTTGGAATAATTACTCAAAATCTGTTTCTCATGTTGATAACCTTTAAAATAATAGTTTTATTAACCTTTAGAGTTGTGTTGAGTTCACATTTCTGAAATTGGTAAGATTAAGAATTTGCATATAAAAATACTGAAAGAAAAAAAGATTGTTGTGTCTTTTTTTTTGTCATAGCTTGGGAATTATTTTAGAAAGTCAATGCCCCTTCCATTTATTGATATAAATGAGCAATGGCTTTTTACACTTAAAACAGGACCAGCAGCAAATTTTCTTTACCAGAGCATCTTTTATCACAGTTAAATTCTGTAAGTTGCCTTATGTATTCCATTTGCTTTTGCCAGAAGACAAGAAATACGCAGTTTTTGTATCACGAAGAGTACTAATGTATAAAAGTGAAATGTCACTCTATAAAATAGAAATCAATAAGAATTCAATATGTTTAAAATCATTTCAAAGGAATCACCATTATGTAACAGTTCTATTACTATCCATCAAAATTATTTCCAAGGGGTAAGCCAAAGAACTAATTTAGATATAGAGCAAGCAGTTTCAAAGATAAGAGACCGCTACAGCAAGAAACAAATCAACAAACATCTCATTATTGCTGTCAAAACAAAATCAAAGTTAGAAAGTTTGTTATTTCAGGGGCGCCTAGGAGGCTCAGTTGGTTGTGTCCGACTTTGATTCAGGTCATGATCTCATGGTTTGTGGGTTCAAGCTACGCGTCGGGCCCATGTGCTGACAGCTCAGAGCCTGGAGCTTGCTTCTGATTCTGTGCCTGGCTCTCTGCCCTTCCCCCGCTCACACTCTTATCTCTCTCAAAAAATAAACACTAAAAAAAAAAAAGCTTATTATTTCAATAACACCTAATTCTGTTACAACCAACAGAATTTCAGTAATAACATACACCTCTATTATTTCTTTAAACCATTGATCTCTCTTCTGAAATATATATATGAAAACATACTTTGAAAAATTTTTATTTTTGAAATTTTTATCAGTTATTTTTGCAATTGTTCTGGTTTAAAATATAGGTAAAGTAACATACCCAAAATTCACTTTAAGGGAAAGGATATATGGGGGGACGTTGAAGAGACAGACACATATTCTCCAGAAATCTGACACCAAGGTACAAGGAGAGCCCGCCACAATTCCCAATCAAGTGAGACATGCCACAGATATTAAGATACCAAGAACAAAGATACTCAACAGTCCATTCAAATCTGTGCACCAGCTGTCAAAAGGCATAAGGCCTAACTTAAGATTGAGGTGTTTCTCACATGGGCAGCTCTATGCGGGGAACAGATCAGCTGAGAAGTATTTACTTAATGACAATTAACGTTTCCCCGGAACAACTCCTGGGGACCCGCTAGTATTTAAATACAATTTTGCACGAACTAATAATTTTCCATATTGACTTTAAAGACAATTTCAGTAATACCTCATTTATCTGACAGGATAAGAAAAGGGGGCAATGAGGGATTGAACGTGACTAGATATTCTTGATAGCATAGGTTTTCTTCTTAAAGCACTAGAAACAATTTAATTTAAACCACGTGTATTGATTTTCTTTCTGAAATAGCACCAGTTTCTCTGCCTTGAACTAATCAAACAGAGTATAGTTTAACCTATTCCTAATGACCCAGAGGCATTTGATAATCAAAAGCCATAATACCAAGATGTCCCTAGGAGCTTAGAAGTACTTAGTATCCTTCATGCTACAATAAATAATCATGGCCTACTATGTTCCTGAATTCCTTGGAGTCTAATTGATCTGCATGGTGCTGATGATTGATCTTTTTGCCATCCCTCCTTGTTGCCGCAACCGTCCTATGGCACTGCTTGCATATATATATATATATATATATATATATATAATATAAATTATATTTTCCCACACCTCCCTTTGAGTTATCTTACCACATTAGCCTGGGAAACCAACCAACCAATATTTTTTTTTTTTAATTTTTTTTTTCAACGTTTATTTATTTTTGGGACAGAGAGAGACAGAGCATGAAGGGGGGAGGGGCAGAGAGAGAGGGAGTCACAGAATCGGAAGCAGGCTCCAGGCTCTGAGCCATCAGCCCAGAGCCTGACGCGGGGCTCGAACTCACGGAGCGCGAGATCGTGACCTGGCTGAAGTCGGACGCTTAACCGACTGCGCCACCCAGGCACCCCATTATTTTTAATGGATGTATAAAATAAGAGGAAAGAACCTCAGAATATGCTAAAAACAACTCCGATACTTGGGGGCATTTACTTCATGTGAAGGCCATTTGCCTACTTTCCTAGTTTCCTTAATATTTTGGATATATGAGTTTACCAGATAAGTGAACTATTATTGCATTCTACATTCTTTGTATAAATTTTAGGCATTGCTCTTCATACTTAATGGAAAGTGAGGATATCTGTTGATAATACTCATCACAGTATCTGCCTATATATCCTGCATTCAAAATAAGGTTAGAATACAAAAACCCCAGGAATTCATAACTCCATGCAAGTAATAAATAGATAAAATAAATGGGGAAGAAGGGAGTGCTCTTGTTTATGGTGGAATGTTGAAGGCCAACAGGTAAGTGTGGAGGGTGTGCTGGAGTTAGACAATCATCATTTTGCAACCATTGTGGCAAAGATTGGGTAAGACAAAAACCATCAATGGATGCTAAATGTAAGGAGAAATTTTGATGAGGAACAGGACATTTGCATCATCTTACAGTTCTTCCTATAGACTCCCTATTAGTTGCAAGGAAGGAAAAATGCTAATTATACACTAGAGAAACTGGACAAAATCTTGACCAGGTAACCAAAATTAACATCACGAATGAGGGACAGACAAACATTGTTTGCCTTGAGATGTGATTCCCAGAGGACACAGCACCGAATGAGAAAATGAGGAAGTCTAATGAGGAATCTAATGAAGAAATATCAGATCCCAAATGAAGAACATTCTGGGTTTTGTTTTGTTTTTTAATTGAGGGCAGAGGTGCTCGGCGGTTGTATTCTTCAAAGATGTCAATGCCATAAAAGACAAAAGCTATGAACATATTCCAGCTGAAGAGCCATGACAAGTAAATGCAATGTGAAATACTACACTGTTACCTTTACTGGAGGGAAAAATAATTCTATAGAGCACATCATTGGGTTAATTGGCAAACAGATTAGATAAAAGTATCAATGTTAAAATCACTGAAGTGAGTTACTATACTGTGGTTATGTCCCTAAATGCTGCAGTATTTAGGAGTAAAAGACTAGGAGGTGTGCATGGCTGAGAAATACACAGAGAGCGAAGAGAAAACATAATAAATAGGTAAAATGTTAATAAGTGATGCTGGAAAGGTGTGTTTGGGTTTATTCCTTGTAAAGGTCTATAAATTTGAAATTATTTCCAAATAAAAAGCTTTTTTTTAATGTTAGAATTTCAAAACAGCAGCTGCAGAAGTCACCCATAGACCCTAATGTTACAATTATTTTAAATGACCACCTTACTGCCTAATTCCACAGGCTTTGTTGACTCCTCCCCTGAAATTGTCTCATCTCTTGGGGTAAAATTTGAGAAACAATGCATTTTATAACTGAAGACTCATCTTATCCAACTTTTTTATCTTATGAATGAGGACACTAAACCCTAGAGATTCAAGATTTACCCAGAATCCCTTAACCAGTTAGCAGGATGGCACAATCTTGATTCTACTTCCCTATCAATAGCTGATAAACTGCTACTGCCCAGTTTCTCATTTCCCCTTTTCCCCCTTTCTATCTCTCAGTTTTCTATGGGCCTGTATTCTCTCCTATCTATCTATCTATCTATCTATCTATCTATCTATCTATCATCTATCTATCTATCATAGATCTCTATCTATGATCATACAGGGGACTTAGGTAGTCTTACTGTTTCAGCGATCACTGCTTCACTGTAATTCTCACTCAGACTTACAATTGCCTCCATGACATCTGTATGAGGATATTCCATCCTCTACACGTTTAAACCTCTACATGTTCAATCTCTATGTGTTTAAAACTGAACTAGCCAAAGAAGAAAAAAATTAAAATAGCTAATAAAACCTATGAAAATAGGTGCGTCCTTACTGATGGAGACTAAACAAGATTATGTTTTGCCTCAAAGACTGACCAATCAAAAAGATCTATAATATTCAAGTTTAGCCAAGGTGTGGGCAGTAGGCTCTCTCATAAACTGATGGTAGGAGTATAAAATGAACGTATCTCTTCGTTGGACAATGTGCCAAAAGCAAGGAAAAATTTACATGTACGTACCTTTGACCCAGCAATGTCACACATAGATACTTGTCCTCCAAAAATTCTGTGACGAAGTTCAAGGAGATATACGGGACTGCTCATTAAATATTGTCTGTAATAGCAAAAATTGAAATACTAAATGCCGATCAATATGGGAGTAGGTAAATGCAGTTATATTGCTTCCTTACAACGTAAAGATAGCCCTATGTGAACCAATATGGAAGAAAGCCCAAGCAAGTTGAAGAGACCTGTGTCCACTAGTGTTCCATTGCCTTTTCTGGGTTGGCATACATAGAAATCAGCCTGGAAAGCTATGCAAACAAACTATCACAGTGGTTTTAGCCAAAGAATATGGAATTGGGGGTGGGAAAGGGGACCCTCAGTTTTCTACTTTATATAGTTCCATTGTTTGCTATTGCTGTGTTTTTTGTTAGAAGTATGCATACCTTTATAAAAGTGACAACAACAGTGTTGCTTTCTTTCTAACTTGAAAATTTTGAATTCCTTCATCCCCATTCCCGCCAACACCACTTCCCATCATTCCTTCTCCCTCCCAAGCTTTAGAATCACCACTGACCCTTTTCTTTTCTCTCCTTTATTATTTATCCATTTAGTTCTGATCCTTACAATTTCTTGCAGGATTTTTTTTTCTTTTGCAAATATTAGCCCAAACTATATACATAGAAAAGTACTCTTACTTGATCTCTTAGGTTTAACTACTCTCCAGAGATTTTTTTCCTTTTTTATACAAGTATTCCTACGCCATTTTCATTGTGTCACACATCTTCCCCACCCCACTCAAAAATCCCCAGTTGTTCCTTGTGATTTACCAAGGTGACATCCAGAGACTTCTATAACCTCAGCTTACCTACCAATTCACCTCATCTCCACTCCACACACTAGCCAGGTCATCCTTTGATTGATTCATTCAAAAAACAAACACGTATTTCTCCTCATAAGCACCAGTTATTGACCTGCTCCTATCATTCCATTCCAGCACACCTTTGCCCTGTCCCTCTTGTCTGTCTGTTCTAAAACTCTTTAGGGCCTGACTTAAGACCCACCTCTGCTCCTTCCATGAAGTTATACCTATTGCTGACATCTCCCTTCTCCAAACCCTTACTGAGATTATCATTGATATCACTCTCTAACTTTGAAAATGTATTTTATCATGACTTAGGATTTTACCAATATGTGCATTTCTTATATTCCCCAATCTACTGAAGCTCCTGGAGAGCACAATGCAGTCACTCTCTTCTCTCTCTCTCTTGCGCTCTCTGGATTCATGTTTGTTGAGCATTTATAGTAAACAGACAACACATTAAATGCCTAGCCTACGTCATTTCATTTTGTTCTCACAGCAGCCCTGAAATGTAGATATTTTTACATTTTGCAAATGAGGCTTAGAGAAGTTGGACGGCTTGCCCAGGGTCCCGCTGCTAGGCCCTCACAAAGCTGGGAATTCAATCCAGGCGGTCTGACTCAGTCTCCGGACTATCCTGTCTCCCTATAAAACCGTGCTTCTTATATATTCTTTTCAATGAGCAGCACAATAGCACGTACACTAATGAGGCTTGGAAAATACTTGTTAAATATAATGTACTTTATGCTAACAATGAACAATCTGACATGTAATACCCATACGTGTTTAATTTAAGAATAGTCTTCTCTAGAATTTGGTTATAGAAGCTTGTTCAGGAGTCCCAGGGTAAAACGGCTTTCAAAAACCTAAATACTTTTACAATAATGGGAAAAGTTAAACAGAAAAAAATGGCATTAGGTTGAATTCCTCATTTTATCCACCCAAGTATATTAAAAAATATAACGCAGGAGATAATTTTCTACCATAGTAGCACAGTTATAGAGTTGGTTATCACATTACAGATGGGAAAAGCTTACTGCAGAAGCCACTGCGTCCACTTTTCTGGAGAGATGCAATTCTATCTGCGGTTTCACATTCCAGAAAGAAATATTCTTACTCCTTCCGGAAATTAGTAACATAAGCATCTTAAAGCACTTTTGTTAGAACAACTAATACACTTTATGTAATTTTTACTGTATTTAATTGAGACTTCATTTAGCAAGACAGATTTTCTTCATTATGACTTAATCCTGCATACACAAATTTGAAACTCACTGTTGAATACTGGCAATTATATCTGTCTTTAAAAGTCACTGTATCGGGGCGCCTGGGTGGCGCAGTCGGTTAAGCCTCCGACTTCAGCCAGGTCACGATCTCGCAGTCCGTGAGTTCGAGCCCCGCGTCAGGCTCTGGGCTGATGGCTCAGAGCCTGGAGCCTGTTTCCGATTCTGTGTCTCCCTCTCTCTCTGCCCCTCCCCCGTTCATGCTCTGTCTCTCTCTGTCCCAAAAAAAATAAACGTTGAAAAAAAAAATTTTTTTTTAAATAAAAAAATAAAATAAAAGTCACTGTATCTATAACACAGTCATTATTTAAGAGTATTCCACTTGAGAAAGTACATTGGTGGCAAAATTAGTTACAGATGGATTTTCAAAGTGTGACTCCAGTTAGAAAACGTGACTTTAGGGGTACCTGGGTGGCTCAGTCGGTTGAGCGTCCAACTCTTGATTTCAGTTCAGGTCATGATTCCAGGGTCGTGGGATCAAGCCCCGTGTTAGGCTTGTGCTGAGTGTGAAGCCTGCTTAAGATTCTCTGTCTCTCTCTCTCTCTCTCTCTCTCTCTCTCTCTCTCTCTGCTCCCCTCCCCTACTCAAGCTCTCTCTCTCTCAAAAAAAAAAAAAAAAAAGAAAGAAAGAAAAGAAGAAAGAAAATATGACTTCAAAACTAAGAACAGCTTGATACGTTACTTTTCAAAAAATTGTTTTAAATTTACTGATATGTGCCATAATATAAACATAACCAGCATCCACACTGAAACTAAAATAAAACCACTTCAAAAACTAATGGGCTTTAGGGCTGAGTTATATCTAAACATAAATATTGCTTCTGTTTCCTTATGTTTCAGTATTTTTATTTCTTTTCAACATTATTAATTTTGAAATAGAACCACAAGAGGGGCAGGGCTTCTGATAGATTAAAAACATATTTATTGACCACCTTCTAACCTCGGTAAACTGAATATACATGTTTATAAAATTACAATTTATAAAATTACAATAAAGAATGAAAAGAATGGAAGAGGAGATGATAACAAATAAAAAATTTTGGAAGATAGAAAAGATAAATAGATTTAACCAAGCAGAGAAAAGTAAAATTAACTATTGAGGGGAAAGACAAACACAAGTCAGCTGATTCCCACATCAGAATTCTGGAAAGTTGAAGAACGGAGACACTGGGACTGAGAAAAGTGAGGATGAAAAATGTCTTCTAAAATGGAAAGGGGAGCCTGGGCGGCGCAGTGGGTTAAGCATCTGACTCGGGGTTTTGGCTCAGGTCATGATCGGGTTTGTGAGATCCAGCCCCCTGTCAGGCTCTGTGCTGACAGCACGGAACCTGTTTGGGATCCTCTCTCACCCTCTCTCTCTGTTCCTCCCCCTCCCCACTCTCTCTCTCAAAATAAATAAATAAACATTAAAGTAAAAAAAAAATGGAATTGGAGAAAAGTCTGCATAAGAACAGTTGGTTGGACACAGAGCTCCTATCCCCACCGCAAGCTTCCATCTCTTCCCAACACCCCAAAGGGAGAATGGACTTTGGTGTTTTGGGTTTGTTTTTTTGAGATAGAGAAGGCACAACTGAGCAAGGGACAAAGGGAGGGGAGAGAGAGAGAGAGAAGCAGGGCTCACCCAAAGCAGGGCTCAAGCTCACCCCATGCGGGACTTGAACTCACGAACCGTGAGATCATGACCTGAGCTGAAGTCAGATGCTTAACAACTGAGCCACCAAGGCGTCCCGGACTTTTGTTCTATGGAGAATGAAACTAGAAAGATTGAGGAGGGTTATCTGACTTTTAATATGAACAATCAGTCAAGGACACCAAACATTTTAGGTAAGTCTCTAAAATGAAAGGCAGAAGCAACGGGAAATTTTTTAAAAGTTTAATCAACATGTATAGCAAGCTATAATATTGCATTTGTTAAATAAGACTAGGATACCATGAAAAAGTTACAATCTGTAAGAGAAAAGGCTGTTACAAATTAAAAATATTACAGCCAGTATAAAGATGTTAGCAGGAGGTTGGAAGACAAAATTGAGGAAATTCCCCAGCAAGTAAAAGACTCTAGACCTAACCATATCATAACTCTATACTGACCTAAAAGTGTGGGCAAACCAGTGCTATTTGAAACTACTGCTTGGAGGAAAACTGGTACAATTTCTACAGGGGGAAGTTTGGCAGTTTCTTTCAAAATTAAATATATATTAAAGGGAATATATATATACATATATATATATATATATATTCCCTTTAATCCAGAAATTCCATTTCTAGGAATTTTATCCTACAGATAAACTCATTTGTATATAAAAAGATGTATGTATATTCAAGGATAGTAATCGCAGAGGCTGGATATATATTAAATGTCATCAGGTGGAAACTGGTCCAAAAAAATTACATTACATCCATACAATAGAATACTACAGAGCCATGAAAAAAATGAGATCATTCTAGATGTACTCAGATGGAATGACTTCTAAAGTATACTGAAAAAAGCATGATGTGGAGCTGTATGTTTATCCACAGTCCAGTAGGATATATCAGAAGGATGCTGGTGGCTAGGGGTACTGTTGAAAGAGAGACTAACTTTACGCTGTTTGCCTTTTTGGGTCTTTTAAATTTTATATCTGTTTTTTTTTAATGTTTATTTATTTTTGAGACAGAGAGACAGAGAGACAGAGAGAGAGAGACAAAGCACAAACAGGGGAGGGGCAGAGAGAGAGGGAGACACAGAATCTGAAGCAGGTCCCAGGCTCTGAGCTGTCAGCACGGAGCCCAACTTGGGGCTTGGACCCAAGGTCCACGAGATTATGACCTGAACTGAAGTCGGATGCTTAACCAACTGAGCCACCCAGGTGCCCCAAATTTCATATCTGTTTTTAAAATTTGTTTTTAATGTTTATTTACTTTTTGAGGAGAAAGAGACAGAGAGAGACAGAATGTGAGTGGGGGAGGAGCAGAGAGAGACAGGGAGACA